TCTACTAATCAGTAACCCTAGGCAGTTTTGGCAAATTTAAAACCCAAAGCATACCCACGATATTTCATTGACTAATGGCGCACGCGAACCAGTCACAGACCATGAGTGGGGGGAAATATTTAACAGCGCATTTGCACCCGTCGTTAATAAAGAACTTGACGCACCTTCAGAATCGCTGTCAGCCAACATCGAAGAATCTATGCCAGCTATCATGTTTTTCGAAGAGGGCATCACATTCGTAATTAATTCAATGAAACTTTCATCGTCACCTGGTATGAACTCAATTAATTCTGATCTACTGAAGAATGTTAAATCAATTTGTGCTGCATCCTTATGTTTGGTTTTTTGACAGTCATTCACCTCAGAAATCATTCCAGATGACTGGAAAATGGGGAAGGTCGTTCCAGTGTACAAATCAGGAAACAGAGGCTCACCCTTGATATACCGTCCCATTGAATTAACTAGTATACCTTGCAAAATCATTAAACACGTCATCTACTCTCAGATAGTAATTTTTTTGGACTGTATTTTCGGCCATCCATCATAACACGTATTTCAAAAAGGCCTCTCCTGTGAAGCACAATCAGCGCTCTTTCCTTACGGCTTGCACACTAACCTTGACCGTAACATGCAGACCATTGTAATCTTTCTAGGCTATGCTAAAGCCTTTGACGAAGTTCCTCACTGCCACCTTTTGCTAAAGCTTTCACAGCTTCACCTACACCTTAACATTGTTCAACAGATTGAACAATTTCTCACTGATCGTTCACAGTCTGTCTGTGTTAACGGTCATCTATCTAACACTCTCCCAGTCACATCAGGCGTTATTCTTCAAGGATCTGTCCTTGGTCCTCTTCTATTCCTAATATATAGGAACGACTTGCCTGATCATATAACCTGTAGCATTCGCATGTTCGCCGATGAGTGTGCCATTTATCAAACTATCATTAACCCACATGATCACCTAGATCTCCAAACAAATCTTAACAGCGGTCTCAATTGGTGTAACACATGGCTAATGACCCTTAATCCTCCTAATTGTAAACTTGTGTCGTTTTCCCGTTGTCACAGCCCATATCGTTTCTAGTATTCCATCGTTAACAACCTAATTAAATCAGTACCATTTTATAAATATCCTGGAATCACCTTATCGTATGACTTATCATGGTGCACCCACATCGCTAATATAATCTCAGCGTCCAATAAAGCACTCGGTTTCCTCAAGCGCCATCTTCGCCTTGCCCCCTCCCCCATATGTTAAATTACTTGTGTCTCAATCACTCATTTATCTTATTTTTTTATTTATACAATACTGCAGGCCTTGGGTGGCCAAAGCAGGAGTGGTTTGTTGGTATAACAATGATGAAAAACCTGTTATAAACAAGATAAAAAAGAGGGGGAAGAAAGATAAATACAAATTGAGAGCAAGAAGAAATAAGCAATGAACAATCGAAGAATACATTAGAGAACGGGAGAGGACTAATCAGTGCATATTTCAGACATATGTCACATGAGAAGGAAATGACCGAAAACAGCAAAGCAAGGCAGCAATGATCATACACAGTAGCGTAGCTCAGATTATTACACAACTAGATGTGGAAAAACCAATCACAGGATAAAGGCACCATTACAAATTTATTCTACGAGCTGGTTGAAAAACTGAGGAACAATGTTTGATAAGAAGGTATCAGATAGTAAGGCATTACAATCACTTACGGTGCGTGGGAAAAAGGAATGTTTGAAGTTGTTTGTGTGTGCAAAAATCGAGGTAAATTTACAAGGGTGAAAGTTCCTGGTGGGTCTATGGGACAAAAGGTTTAGATAAGGAGCGGGGTTGACTGCAAGTTTACGGTTTCAAAGCTGATGAAGAAATTTTAGTCTTGTTATTTTTCGTCGGCTCTGTAAGGTCATGATCTTTGTTTGCATTAAAGAAGTAGGCGAGTCATGTCGGCGGTAACGGTTATATATGAACCGTACAGCCAGCCTCTGAATTTGTTCAAGTTTGTTAATGTCTTTTTTAGTGTACGGGTCCCAAACTATACACGCGTATTCAAGACGAGGCCTGATTAGCATGTTATATGCAAGAAGTTTAACATGGGAGGGAGATTTTTTTAAATGTGTCGTAAGAGGCCGAGTTTACGCTGAGTTAATGCACAGATTTTGTCGATATGCATTGACCAGGTTAGATTATTTGTAAATGTTAAGCCGAGATATTTAAAGCTACTGGTCTGAGAACTTTCGACTCCCTTTACAGAGTAATTGAACATAAGAGGACATTTTTATTAGTTATGCGCATATACACCATTTTAGTTTGGTTTAGCTTCATTCCCCAAATGTCGCACCAGTTAAATATTGAATTCAGGCTGTCGTTGAGGGTAATTTGGTCATTAGTTGATTTGGCAGGTCTGTACAAAAGACAGTCGTCCGCAAATAAACGAATACCAATGCTTTCGTGCACACAAGAGGTTATGTAGCTTACATATACCAGAAATAATATAGGCCCTAGGACACTTCCCTGAGGCACTCCGGAGTTAACTGATCCAAGATCTGAAACGTGACCACTGACATCAACAACTTGTTTTCTATGTTCAAGATATGAGGCAATCCACTTTATTAGAAGATGCGGGACATTAAGTGTATGAAGTTTATAAAGAAGACCTGAATGCGAAACCCTGTCGAATGCTTTGCTTAGATCTAAGAATACTGCGTCAACTTGGCCGGACTTGTCGAGAACTGAAGAAAAGGTATGCGCAATAAAAGCGAATTGAGTGGTAGTAGATAGGCCCTTACGGAAGCCATGCTGGAAAGGTGTTAAAATATTGCGGGAATTTGAAAAGTCGGCCAGATAGTTGGAAATAATATACTCCATGAGTTTGCTGCATGAATCGAGAAGTAAAATAGGGTGATAGTAACGATGGCTCTATCGTCAGCTTTAAAAGCAGTAACTGTGCGTGCAATACGCCACTTGGCGGGGACAACCCCTTCAGAAAAGGAAAGACGAAATATAACAATTAGAAATTTAGCTATGGATTCGGCATACCGATAGGGAAACATGTTTGGAATCTCATCAGGGCCTACAGAGGTTTTCAATTTAAGATTATGTAATATTGCAACTATTCCTTCATAACTGATAAAGTCAGAGTTCAGCCCGGTAGTATTACGTATCTCTCCAATGTCATTACAAGACACTAAATCCGACTAAACGAATTGAAAAAAAAATTTAAATTCATTCGCAATCAGTTGTTTATCGGTTATAGTTTGATTTCCTATTTTTATGCTATTAATGTCATCCCGCCCTCTCGCATTTAGGTGACGTCAAAATTTTGAAGGATTAGTTTCTATAAAATTAGGCAAGGTGGTCGAATGAAAAAATTTTTTACTCACACGAATTTTATCCACAAGTGTTTGGTGCAGGGTTCTGGATAACGAATTGTTTACCTTATGTTTTTTCAACCTTTTGATTTTGTGTACTAAATGAATCGCATCGCGATTGACCACAGGTTTGGTTGACGCACCTTTTTCGTTTTCACGGGAATAAAGTTATCAATGTAGAAATGGCAAATTGTTTGGAACTTGTCCCATAGTAAGTTGACATCGTTATTGGCAAAGTTATTGAGTTCAAAGTTTAAATAATCGTGAACACTTTCATCATTAGACCTACTGAAGTCTTTTACAGTTTTTTTGTCCGAATCATGCCCTAATCGTCCACTCATTCGACACGTAAAAATGACAATTTTATGATCAGATATACCGTCTACCACTGCAACTTCTGTTTTAGACAAAGTGGCACTGTAAAACACAAGGTTCATAATTCAAGAAGAATTTCCTTGAACTCGCGTAGGAATATTTACGGCTTGGTTTAGATTGCATGCAAGCATTATGTCGAAAACCAAGTGATCATCGGAAGAGGCGGAAAATAAAGAGGGCCAGATAGTATTTGGAAGGTTGAAATCTCTGGCTATAATAACGTTACTTTTAGAGAATCTGATTATATGATCATATAGTTTAGTCAAGAAGGAGGAATCGGCACAAGGCGCCCTGTAAACCGCAATTAAAATAAATGACTTGCCATTACAGCTTATACGCAGGCATAAACTTTCATGGCCATCAATCTGATCTAACGGATCAGCATTTACGTTACACCTAAGAACAACAGCGACGCCTCTGCCGAGCGAAGGCCTGTCCCGCCTATGAATGTGGTGGGAAGGGGGAACAATATCGGAATCGTGTATTCCATCATGAAGCCAAAATTAGAATATCAGACCAACATTAGAGTATACATTTGCCATATGGAACTCACATCAAGTGTACTTAATCAATGCTGTTTAAAGTCGTGCTGCCACATTCATTCACTCATCCCACTCATAGCATATCAGTATCTAATCTTTGAAAGCAAAATCTGGACTATCATCTCTTTCCTTGCATCGCCGCGCTGCCACCCTCATGCTTTATCAGAAATTATTTTATTCTTCCCTCAATCAACCACCTTATATAAGAGCTGCAATATGCATATCTCATCAAATCAGTGATCTATTTCAGGTTGCCCGCCCATCATCACGCGCTACAACTTTTTCTGTATCCTTCTTTTTTCTGGCAGCCATGGACTGAAACGGCTTTCGATGGAACATCGTCACCATCGCCTCATCATCCCCCTTTCAAGATCATATTATTGATCATGTTCAAAAGTAAAACTACGTTCACTGCATTTTTTAACCTAAATACAACCCCACCCCTTATGTAATGTCTCTCCAAGCAAGGGGGCCTCTGAGGTAATAAACTGAACTGATACTGAGATTCATACCGACGCCAGTAACGTGGGTCTTGGGTGCTGTCCTCTTCCAAAAACAAAAGGGCACGGAGCGAGTGATAGTGTAGCTAGCCGCACTTTTTCTCGCGTTGAGGTCAATTACTTCACGTCAGAGAAAAAGTGTTCTTTTTTGTCTGTGTTTTTCTATTCACGACAACCACAGACTGTGCCTTATTCGAACCTTTGCTTGCAGGTTACGGGCAATCGTGTGACTGGTGGAGCGTTGGGGTCATTTTATATGAAATGCTTGTTGGCCAGCCACCTTTTTTGGCCAACACACCTGGTGAGACACAGTACAAGGTATGTAAAGATTCACTGCTTTATGGTGGTTCAGTGTTGCATCATAAAATTGAATAAAATATTTTTTTTCTGGGTGTTTTGTGACACCAGCCAATCCTCAATACTTTATGGTTTTGCATTTGTGTTTCATTTTTCACATATTAACCCTTTGAGGGTCGATTGTTTTTTCCTTTTCTTTTGAGACTGTCCGTGGTGATGGAATTACTTTACTGCGAATTTCAAGTATACAAAAGGTGTGAACTAAAGGTATAGTAAGAAAAGTCAGGAACAGTATTATAGTGCCAGCATAACTTTGGACTGCAAAATTTATCATAATATTTCAGAGTGTGGCATTCGTTTAAAAACAGGTCTCTACGCAGTGTCACGTGAAACATATGTCTGTTCCCCTCTTTGTGCAATGAGTCGCATTTGGCCTTATCACCACTTTGCCGTGTTTCTTAAGGACGTGAGAGAAACTAGGTAGACAGAAAGTGTGAGGCTACGTCATGAGCGTCAATGATAAACAAGCAGTGCTAGCAAGGACTGACATCAGCTCTGACGGCCCCTGCAAGAAAACACTGGCAAAGATAAAGATGAAGTCTCGCGAGCCTCTGTCACAATCACGTGCCAAAAGTGGAACCACAGCAGGGTGTTGCCAGAGTTAGTCGCCCTTAATTTGGACTTGTCTTCTTCAGCGCTGCTTAGAAGAAGAGGGTCCCGCTCCTACTTCATGCATGTGTTTATCACTCCTTTGCACCTGTTTACATTGTGCCAGTCAAATTTTTTCAGAAGAGTTCTTCTAAATAATTGGAAAACTGGCGGTAAGTACTAAATCAATAGTCTTTTAAAGTGAAAGCAGATTTTTATTTGTGTTCGCACCTAAGAAAAATACTGAGTACAGTGGAACATCATCTATAGTGAGTAATAGCAACGCGTATGCAGGCAATTTCAAAATTTATGTTCTCAGGAGCAAAAACTTTTCATCCTCTTCGTTCCCGCAGGTCGCGGGATCGAATCCCGGCTGCGGCGGCTGTATTTCCAATGAAGGGGGAAATGCTGTAGGCTTGTGGGCTCAGATTTGGGTGCACGTTAATGAACCCCAGGTGTTTGAAATTTTCGGAGCCCTCCACTACAGCGTCTCTCATAATCGTATGGTGGTTTTGGGACGTAAGACCCCACATATCAATCATCCTCTTCGTTGGGCTGCGGGCTTTCCGGTTAGGACTTTTTTCTTTTTGGAATGACTTAATGACACCTGTCATTCGCAGGAACTGAATGTGTGGACTTTCCTTGCTTCACTTGGACACACAGCTTGTGCTGTGCAGTGAGGCCAATGTGACACACTTTCGTGCTGAGACCTTAATTATTGGCTGCTCTCTGGGTGTTGGCCTTGTCTGCCTGTTGACATTGCAGCACGATTATCAGTACGCACGCTAATGAATATGTTCATTGAAAATTCAGACATGTTCTGGCCTTAGTGATCCTAAGTTTTATTTTGCCTACTCCAAAACACAGTTCATTGCTCTAAAACAGACTTTTTCCTGCTCCAAGAATTGCTCCAAATCCCAAACTGGCTGACCCACCACTGCGCATTTCATTAACAATAAAGAGGTCTCGTTAGAAAACTTTCAAACTTTCTCGCAGCCTCCCCTGTTAACAGTGGCTACAGATATCTCTGTTCACAGCCACATTTTCTCCCGAAACTGTCTTGAAGTCAAGACCACGCCCCTTTTTAAAACTGCTCAGCCAGCCATCGCTCACCCCAAAGTACTCCATCCCCATTCAAGAAGCAATCTCTTCAGCCTTCTCTTCCAAAATGACCCTGATGATTGAGAAGTTTGCACTGTGCTCACACTTGAACCAAACAGGGGTGGAAATGCTGCACCAATTGCGCCATTCTGCACCAAACTTACCTGCTGCGCCAGGGTGCACATAAACGGCAATTTCCGCAATAATTGTCGATTTAGCCTGTAAGCCCCCAAATTTAGCCGATTAATATATACTCGGAGACAGCTTTTCTTGACAGCACTGTGGAAGCTATACAGTGCAGTCCACTTATAACGATATCGAGAAAACCTAAAAATATGATCGTTATAACCGGTGATCGTTATATCTGGACTGCCGCCAAAAAATCGTCGCCGGAGGTACCTTTTGTAGCTCCAGGCTTCATTTCGCTATTTTCACCAATTAATAAATATTGTAGATAGTAGGATGTCAAAAACAAGACTTTATTTCTTACTCCGAAGAACGATTACTCCGAAGAACGAACGCATCACGGGTTCGCTGAGGAAGAGAGACTGACCGACGGCGGGGTGGGAGCAGTGGGAGGAAGAAAGCACAGCCAGAGGTACACAGCCGGAATGCCAACGAGGCCCCGCCCCGATGCCGCCGCGCCGCTTTGCTTTTCGCTTTTTTTTATTTTCTCTCTCTTTCCCGCGTTCGTTCGGCAATCTACGAGTAGCTTGCCGTTGTAGAAGGCGGGGAGCCGCGGAGCGCGGCACTTTGCTTTTCGCATTTTTTTTTTTAAATTCTCTCAGCCTCTCCGCGGTCGACGCGCGGTGAGGCGCAAAACGTGACACAGCTGGCGCCATCTGTAGCGCGTTGCGCCAACTCGCGATGCTCTCCTCGGCTTTTTGAACGGCCGGGACGCGCTGCCGGCGCTGTGCTGCAGTGGCGGCAGATACGTACTCGCCTACGCTAACTTTTCGTCTTGTCTCGGCATAGCTCGTTTCAGAGGAACTTATCAATCTAAATGTTACGATTATTCTGAATGAAACATGCCGTCCACGGCAAACTTTTCATCGTTGTATCCGATATGCGGTGGATAACATATCGTTATATATGGTTTTTTTTCCCATAGCCCCAATGCATAAAATGAGACTGTTAAGTCGACCCATCGTTATAACCGATATATCGTTATATGTGGTATCGTTATAAGTGGACTGCACTGTACAGCCGAACCGCCTGCATGTGCGCGCGCCAGGAAATAGTACCTATTTTATTTTCTGATTCTAATAGCTACTTGGCCCGAATAAATAAAACTTTCTTCATTGTAAGGATAGAACAAGCATGGGACGCTGTTCATGTAAAAGAAGTTATCGAGCGCCCTAGTTTTTTTTCTTTTTTATTTCTTGGACGGCACTACGTTTTCCGCACGCCGGCTGCGTCTGCTGCTTGCTCTTGCAGTAAACATGGCGTCCCCGGTGCCGGCGGTATCATGTGCGGCCACGAACTCTCCTTTTAGTTCTCTGAGGAGACTATACACTAAGTGTGACGAGAAGTGGATCTCCAAGCAAACGAAGCAGGTTATCTGCAACGTCTACGCTGGAGTAAGACGCCGTGAGCCCGAGCTGTCGACCAATTTTGTGTGCCGGAGTGTCGCCGAACTCACCGGAGTGAGTATGCGAACGGTAACACAAATCAAGGCTGAAGCTCTGCGGACCCCACTTTCCTCTCCAAAGCGTAAGAAACTGGATTTCTCGGTCTCGGGCGAAGCTGGGAAGCGCATGACCGCCAAGACGAGGCTGCAGTGCTACGACACGTTTGCGTTGGCAGCATTGCGGCGCAAAGTGCACGGCTACTTTATGCGCAATGAAGTGCCTACGGCCGAGAAGCTACGCAACGACGTCATCAGCGACACTGACATGGACATGCCGAGGATCAGCACTCGCACGATCTAACAAATGCTGAACGACTTGGGGTTCCTCCTCTGAAAGAGAAAAAGGAATTCCGCATTGCTCGAACGAGACAACATCATTGCTTGGCGTCGAAAGTATCTTCGTACAATCCGAGAAATGCGGAGGCAGCAGCGGTAAGTTGTTGCGTTCTTTTAATTTCTGCAAACTTTCGTTGCGCATGCTTGTTGGTAAAAGTGTAGACGCGAATGGTCAGCATGCGTGTGTACCAATGGTGAGCGAAAATGAGAGGTATGCTTTGCATCAGTGATCGCCAAACGTGTGCTGTTGACGCGAGTGATCGAAAGCCTTACACAATCCTAACTTAAGTCGCAGCGAAATTCCCAGTAAAATAAGGTAGCTGTTCGTGCTTGTACGGTGGATAATAGTATCAGCCGTGGATGCGATGATCTGTGCCGAAGATGTAACTGATCGTGTCGCTATTGCAGAATTTCCCGTCGCATTGTTTGGGAAGATTTACTGCCTTTCCGTGTAGGAGCAAGGAATCTGAATGGCTTGAAGAAAGAATAGCTAACTTTATTCAGCGAATATGCTGTGCACATTATTGGGGATGTGGTTGCATGAGTTTTTATGAGCAGCCTGAAACATGTTTCGTAAACATACGCTTCAGTCTTTCTCAGGGGACGTTTTGCCAGCTCATCTTTGTTATATGTATTCACATGGGTTTTGTCAGGGGATCCTTCGCGCTGTAACAGAGGCATAACTTTGAATCAAGGCCGCTGGTTTATTAATGAGCTGTTGCCAGTTAAAGTACGCTCTTAACTATACGACTGATTTCTTTTATTTTGCAGGACCATATACTACCTTGATGAGACCTGGCTAAACGCTGGCCACACTAAGGAGACCGTATGGGCAGACACCAAAGTGACGTACCGGCAAGACGCATTTCGTCAAGGCCTCTCAACAGGTCTCCGTGCACAGAGCGGTAAAGGAGGACGCCTGATTGTTTTGCATGCTGGCAGTGCAGAAGGCTTTGTTGATGGAGCCGCCCTTGTTTTTCGTGCCAAGAAGGGCACTGGTGATTACCACGCAGAAATGGATGCTGCGCGTTTTCAAAAATGGTTTGTTGAACAGTTGCTACAGAACATCAAGCCACGCAGTGTGATTGTGATGGATAATGCATCATATCACAGTGCTCAAGTTCAAAAGGTGCCAAGTTCATCATCAAGAAAAGCCGACATCCAGTACTGGTTGAAATCGAAAAGTATCCCTTTTTTCAAATGACTATCTGAAGAGCGAACTGCTGCAGCTCGTAAAGCAGAATAAGCACATGTTCCTTGTTTACCAGATTGACACCCCCGCAGGGGCGCCTGGGCAAGTAGGCGT